TTAAAAGAGTAAAATAATTTATTTTTAAAATTAATATTTTTTTTTTTTTAAGAGTATTATAAATAGATATTTCAATAATAAAATTTAAGTTAATAATAAAATATTAAAATTAATCAATTTCGATTTAATTCGTATTCTAAGGCTTATTATAAAACAAATATATTAAGTCCAAAACACAAACAAAACAAACACAAATATACAAACACAAACACACACAAACACAAAAACAAACACAATAGAGACAGAGAGACCAACAGACAAAGAGAGACACACGACAGAGAGACAGAGACAAAAAGAGACACACCTCCGGCGCGCAGCGCGCAGAGACACAGAGACACAGAGACACAGAGACAAACAGACACTGACACACACAGACACAGACAGACAAACACAGACAGACACAGACAGACAGACACAGACAAACAGCCAGACAGACAGACATACAAAGAAACAGATACCAGAGACAAAGAGACCAACAGACAAAGAGACACAGAGAAAGACACCGACAGAGAGACAAAAAGAGACACACCTCCGGCGCGCAGCGCGCCGGATTCTGATGTCAACATGCCACAGGCTTCACCTGCGCACGCGCGCGTGTCCGACTCCGAGCCCGGGAGCCGTGATGCAGACGGGCTGCAAGAACGCGCTCTCGGCTGCGCGTGCACAGACACACAGACACACAGACACACAGACACACAGACACACACACACAGACAGACAGACACAAACAGACAGACACAGAGACACAGAGACACAGAGACACAAAGACACAGAGACACAGAGACACAGAGACAAACAGACACAGACACAGACACAGACAGACACAGACACAGACAGACACAGACAGACAGACACAGACAGACACAGACAGACACAGACAGACAGACACGGACAGACAGCCAGACAGACAGACAAAGAAACAGATACCAGAGAGAGAGACCAACAGACAAAGAGAGACAGAGAAAGACACACCTCCGGCGCGCAGCGCGCCGGATTCTGATGTCAACATGCCACAGGCTTCACCTGCGCACGCACGCGAGTCCGACTCCGAGCCCGGGAGCCGTGATGCAGACGGGCTGCAAGAACGCGCGTGCGAGCTCTTGGCTGCGCGTGCACAGACACACAGACACACAGACACACACACACAGACACAGACAGACAGACACACACGGACAGACACAGAGACACAGAGACACAGAGACACAGAGACAAACAGACACAGACACAGACACAGACACAGACACAGACAGACACAGACACAGACAGACACAGACAGACAGACAAACACAGACAGACACAGACAGACACAGACAAATAGACACAAACAGACAGCCAGACAGACAGACAAAGAAACAAACATTAGAGACAGAGAGACCAACAGACAAAGAGAGACAGAGAAAGACACCGACAGAGAGACAGAGACAAAAAGAGACACACCTCCGGCGCGCAGCGCGCCGGATTCTGATGTCAACATGCCACAAACTTCACCTGCGCACGTGCACGTGTCCGACTCCAAGCCCGGGAGCCGTGATGCAGACGGGCTGCAAGAACGCGCGTGCGAGCTCTTGGCTGCGCGTGCCCCAGTTGCACGCGGCTGGCCGCTTGTCCCCTGGCGCCCTCGCCCAGTGGAACGAGCCAGCGGGAGACGGTTTGCGCTTGTCTCGGCGCTGCCCCGCCGCTCCCGCGGCCAGGAGGTGGTTGCAGGACTAGGCACACTACCGGCCCGGTTTGGATTGGTAGTTTGGATCGGTGTTTTGGAGGTTAGGGGGTGGTTTCCCATTTAACTTCAACATGATCCAGGGGTTCAAACCCCCAAACCACCAATCCAAACCAGCAATTAGGTGCCAAAGAAGGGCCAAGCTCTCAGAATTCAAGGTCCAGATCTTACAGAGCCCGCGCCGGCAAGCCATGTTTTGCAACTCAGGCACCAACATATTTTATCATCTCATACATATCAAAAATGTATACTCGTCGCATGCAAAAAGCATGCTGCCGTTCTACAAACACAGGTCGCGAGACGCACTGAGGGCCGGGCTGGTCGCGATAAGGTCACGCCAAAGAGTCAGTGAAAGGCGGTCGCCTGAGCAAGGTGAGAACGGATCCGCGGGCTGTTGGCCTCAAAAGATCCATCCACACACGCAGTTGTTGCAAGCGCAAGCGAAAACGCGATCGACCAGAAAACATCCTGGGCGCAAGCGAAGCCGAACTGATTTCGCACAAAGCATAGGGAAAAACACCACTGGTCGCAACAATCGGCCGCGGCTCACAGCTTCTCGCATCGCCCACGACTTCGTTCAAAGCCCGGACAATTTTTCCGAAATATGCCGGATATTTCGATAGTCGCACTCCAGACCATTTTTCCGAAATATTCCGGATATTTCGACGATAGCGTTTCCCGAAATATTTGGAATATTTCGGAAAATGGTGGGTGGCTGCGATTCCCGGACCGCTTTCCCGAAATATCTGGAATATTTCGGGAAATTGGTCCCTACCAGAAATGAAGCCACTATGTCTTCCGCACATATGCCGGGGTAGCCCGGACAGATTTGGGCAAGCGGTCCGTAGGAAATATGAAGCGGTTACATCTTCCAGGGGCAGTCCAGACCAATTTTCCGAAATATCCGGGATTTTTCGGAAAAGCGGTCCGGGAAAACGCGCGCAAGTGCGACGAGCAAGTTTCAGTTTTTATAGAGTAAATAAATGTATATATGTGTTTAAATATGTTAAGATTATATATATATATATAAACAATATAGACTGTTGTAATTTATTAATTATTATATTTAATAATATATATATATATCTTTTAGATATACGGTTTCTTCAAAATCGGTTTAAACCATTTTAGAATTTAATTTTTAATTGTTAAAAAAATCGCATTAATAATTTATAATAAAATATATTTATCAAATAACATAACTTATTCATATTCTTTCTAAGTATGTTTATTATAAAAGAAAACTATATACACATTTACAAAAAACAAATAATATATATAATTTAACTCACAAATTATTTATATTATTTCCATATTTCAGTTCAATAATTCACATATATTTAAATATTGTGTATCACACCCCACAAACAAAAATAATTATTCGCAAATTCATCCTTATATCCTATCCATTATTCAAATAAAAAGATCATAATTTTTAAATACCACCATAATGCACAAAGTCTAATTTCCAATTTGAACTATAAATCATAATATACATTAATTAACAAAATATATATATATTATAATTCAAAAAAATAAAATAAAAAACCATATCCGCCGACATTGCTCGGCGTGTCGGACACCTAAGAGAGGATAGAGGATAACCCCCCCCCTAACCCCCCCCCGCCCGACGTCTGATACGTGGGGGGGGGGCCCCCCCCCCGCCCAAGGACCGCGCGGCAATTTGATGACGTTCCACTAAACGTAGTCTTCGGGGAGCCGGTGTCGCAAAACAGGGGTCCCAGGCTCGATTCCCCCTGCCGGCTCTTTGCTGGTTTGGGGTTCCTGCCTCCTTTTGCAGGAAATCTGGAAAAAACTCTGTGTTTTTGGACGTCCTAATTGTGAAAACGCTGGAAAACCCGTGTTTTTTGCTGGAAATATTGGGGAGCAGAGGGGAAATGCAAGGAAGTGCAAGTGAAATGAGGGGAGGAAATAGGAAGTCGACATGACAGGAAAGCAGCGGGACATGAAAGGGAAACAAAGGGGAACTGAAAGGGACATGCAAGGGACAGAAATGAAAACAAGGGGAGTGCAGGGGGAAGGAGAGGAAACAAAGCACAAGGAAACCAAGCACGACGGGAGATGTAGGGAAATGACTCGCAACGAAAGAACGGGACATACATGGCAAATGAAGCGGACATACCGAGAAAATGTCAGGGACATGAAGGGGGGGCTGAATGGCATGGAAGGGACAGGACCAGGACATCATGGGAAACGTGACAAGGACATGAAGGGGGAAAGCCAGTAGTGAGATGACAGTTCAGGGTCATGCAGGGGCAGTGCCCGGACATCGAGGCAACTCGGGGGGGGACGTGACGCTGCAATGCAGAGAGAGAGAGACAGAGAGAGAGAGAGAGAGAGAGAGGGAGAGAGCGGGAGAGAGACAGAGAGAGAGACAGAAGAGAGAGAGAGAGAGACAGAGCCACAGACAGAGCCAGAATCAGAGAAACAGAGAAAGAGACAGACAGAGAGAGAGACAGCGAGAGAGAGAAAGACGGAGACTGAGAAAGAGAGACACAGAAAGACAGAGAGAGAGAGAGAGAGAGAGAAAGAGAAAGAGAAAGAGAAAGAGAAAGAGCGAGAAAGTGAGAGAGTAGAGAGGTTCGAATTAGGGTGCCCTTTTTCTGTAGAGGGGCGTGGACAGGAAGGAGACAGGGAGACAGAAAGAGACAGAGAAACAGAGACAGCGAGAGAGAGAGAGAGAGAGTGGGAGATTGCGGAGAGAGAGGCTTGGGGGGATGGGGAGAATGGGGAGCAGAGGGAGGGAGAGAGGACGACAGAACGCACGAGGGAGACAAGGGAGAGGGAAGAAGGAGAAAAGGGAGAGGACAATGTCGGCGGACTGAGCCGGAGGCTCTAAAGTTATAATCTAATTAATTCATATCAACTAATTATAACCAAAATAAAAACAAAATAAATCAACATTATTTTCTATATATGTTATTTCCAAATTATAATAAAAATTTGATTATTTCAATAATAATCATTCTATAATATATCATATATCATATCACTAAAATAGTATAAATCATATCACCAACATACATTATAAACAATATATTCAACCAATAAATTAATCCCAATATCATGTTATTTTCTAATATTAAACATATTAATTCAACATAAGTAATATAAAATAATTGCTATAAAAATATATGTTTTATTAAACATATACATTCTATAATTAATATTGTGGATTATTATAAGGCTGATCAAGAATTGGATGACATGGCCCTCTATATAGAATTGGTTCCTCCGTATGTGTGGAAAACACCATCTATCCGTATTTGATGAATTATATTTATTCGTGGATCTGCAAAAGCCAGGGTAGCCACTTCTCCAGAATGGCAGGGCTCCCATACCACGGCTTGCTTTGTCGGTCTTGAGCTAGCTCTGCACTTGGTCCAAGCGCTGGATAAACTGGCGCATGTGTCACTCCATCCAGGATCATTTTGTCCTTACCAGTCAGCCGCAAAATGAATATGACTCGACATGACAAACTGGGGTGTGCAATCTACTAAGCTCTGGTCAGCAGGCTCGAATGCTAGAGCAGAAAACAATGGTGTCATTCCATCTCCGTCCACAGTGTCATCATCCGGATCGGCACCACACAGCTCGTAGGCGCCACGAGTCATGTCCTGGGTTTGCAATGCATGCAAAATTACGGCTGGCAATGCTTGGATGCAGCAAAGTCTCTGAACCTTTGCCAGAGATTGTGCCCTTTGCTCCGACACACAGGCACCGGACATTGCCAGGCAAGGCCTCTGCAGCTGTGGCTTCCAAGTACTTGAGGGCTTTGAACACCAAACTGTCGCCCACGTGGTGCGGGGATCCTAAACACACCAGAGAGTGAACTCTGTCCGCACCAGCATAAGTACGTCCATATGGTACTGAAGACAAGTACAGTCGGCAGATCCATCCGGCTGCAGAATGTGCGACAATGGCCAGGCGACGTTTGTCTGGGGACCGCGCTCTAGCCTTGGCAGTGAAGTCTGCACCGCTCGGCTGCACCTCTGGATACTCTGCTGGATCGTCGGAGCCGCCAACCTTGAGGATGCCGCCGGGGTTGTTCAACATGTCTGTCAAGAAGTCTGCCGGTGTATATGAAGGCTGCTCCAGAGCCACAGGCTCCAAGTCGTTAGCAAGGACTTGGTATACAGCATGGTCAATGCGCTCCAGAATTGGCCTCATGCTTCTTCCACCAATGCAGGGTAGCCAGTGCCACCACTCAATTGGAGCAACTACTGCCTTGTAACCTGCAGCCCGCATATCCTCCGCAAAGTCCTCAAAGTCGCACGCGCTGCCAAGAAAACCTGGAAGAATCACAGCAAATGGCTGGTCTTGCAGGTCCCTGCCAAACCTCGGGCTGCGAAGGGAAGGCAAAATCAAATATTCGAACTTGACGTTGGCACTCAAGGGCTGAATGTTTGGGCAATTTGTACAAGACTCGACTCTGCATTCCTGGCCGTGAGTTTACGTCCAGCTCGCGGCAGCACGCCGGGAACCAGGCCCAGATCGTGAGAGAAGAGCACCTCAGTTCTGACCCAAAGGCTTGATTCTATCCAGCTTGCCAACGTGTTCCTGGTCCCGCGGAACCACAGTGCTGGGAGCTGCCACTTTCGCCCAATGCAACGCATTCCGCGCACTGCTGATTGTCTGTGAAAGTGCTTTGACGAGTGGCCTGGTTCTAAATGAGCGACAGAGACTTTCCTCTCTAGTTAACACGGCCCAGGCACTGCCATCAGAGGCAAAGGAAGAAAGCGCCTCATTCTCCCGTTGCTTTGGCACATGACCGGCGGCCAAAACTGTGCAGTTCAAAAGCTGTGCTTTTTGCAGGGTTCTTGTTGGGCCCGATTGGTGTAAAGCTGTTTGTTTAGATATGTCAAACAATGACCGTATCCTCAGTGCAGCAGGATGTGCACCGGTACAAGCCTGTTCGAAGGCCCTGGTTCGAGCAAAAAGGCTGCTGACACCAAAGCAACGCTGGGGGGAAGTGTGCCGTGCGAATCAAAACCTACGTCTGCAGGTTCTGACATGTTCTGGGACTCGAGTTGGAATGCGTGTTGTGATCTGTATGAATGATGGATGACAGTGAATCCCAGCTTCCAGCGAGGATGTCGAATTTGAAAAGCACGTCAGGCAGCATTTTCCATCAGATCCGCTGGCCAATGTCGCTGTCCATCCACAATGTCCTCAGCCCAACTCAAACTAGCGACACAAAATGTTCTCCGCGAGAGCTTGGCGCCCTGGACAACCAAATGATGTGAGTTGCGCGGCGTTTTCGGACTTGGACCCCCCCCACATGTTGAGAAGCTTCAGCACAGAAGCCGGGCGCAACAAAAAGGCCAAAAAACATGTTCACTCCGTTCCCCTGTACTCTACAGCTTCAGCCACAATTTCAGCCCAACACACTGAGAGAGGTGGTTGGTTACGGGGCTGACGCTTCATGATGCATTGAACTAAAGGCCCCCACAATGTTTATTGCGGTTGCTGGTTGAAAGGAAAAATGAAGGAAAATTAACCCAGCCAAAAGCTCAGCAAGTAAGCTAAGTCTCGCCAAGGCAAGAATGCAGAATGGGTGACATGCTTAAAACTTACTGTAATGCAAGCGTCCATTTAGGGCTCCGCCTCGGGCTTGGCTTCCGTCTTGGCCTTCTTCAGAGCAGCTCCGTAGAACTTGGCCTTCTCCTCGCTGGTCTGGAAACGGCCATGGCCGAACTTGGAGGAGGTGTCGATGAACTTCAGGGTGACCTTCTCCAAGGCCTCAAGCTGACGAAAACTACTTGATACTTGCGCCTCGTAACCTGGCCATGGGAATCCTTGGCTTAACGGCTGCCTTAATTTTGACCGGATTGCTGGCCTTGCGGCTGACCTGCGGCAAGAGCGACTTCCGCAAGGTGATCAAGCGCTTACGGGGTCCCATGACTGTGCCCTTCAGCATCAGCCAGTCCTCCCTGACCTCTCCAAAGTGCGAGAAACCGCCCATGGGCGTGATGGCCTTTTCCGTGAGATCGTTGTCAGTCCTTGCGTTCGCGGGATCGTCCTGAGCGGAAGACATGGGGCATGGGGGTGGCCAAAACCCAGAAAATTGGCTGCCATGCAGTTGACTAGTTATGACTAGTGCGGCATCAGGCCTTCAGCGCCTTGCCGACGCGGTAGATCTTCTTGTTGATCTCGGTTCGGTGGTGGTATCCTCGCTGACCGGAGCGAGGCACCTGGAAGGAAACTCGCGCCGGGTGCCAGGAGCCAATGCACGCCACCTGAGGCAAATCGGGGGTAGCAGCAAGAAAATCGAACTCGAAATGTCGGAATTTCAATGCGATCTGCTTGGATTTCCAGTCGAAACATGAGGGAAAGTGGATGCTTCCCCGCCTTTCGAAGGCCGCGGTGGGACTTACGCACCAAGCGCGTGACTCCCCATCGTGTCACCACACCGTTGAAGCCCTTTCCCTTGGTGGTACCAATGACATCCACCACCTCGTCCTGAGCTTCTGTGAGCCGCGAGACCAACGTGACACCAGGTTTGGTTGTCCAAGTTCAAGCTTGGGGCTTTGCAAAAGGCTTTGATCAGTGTGCAAAGCAAGGCCTGAGCGAAGACGCTGTCAACCTTCACCTCCTGCTCGAACAGGCCCATGACAAAGTCCACCTTGCGAACGGCATTGGCGTTCGACCGCATTTAGAGCACACCAACTATTGCTACCCACAAGCCAGGCTACAAGTCAACCGACAAATGGATCTGCATTGTGTGGCAATTGCGACGCAACAAAAGGCCTTGTCAGCGGTCGATCCACCGTTCACCTGGATCTCCTTGATGTGGGCCTTCTTCTGGCCAATCCTTACCTTTTTGACCTCCGCAGTTGGATGTTGCAAGTAGAGAAGTTCTGGGGGACGGCTGCATGAATGGCGTTGACATCTGGTTCTGGGATTGGAACAGTTGCTTCATTGCACACCCCGAAATGTCCAGCCTGGGTGTGACAAATTGCTCGGATGACCTGGCAGTACTTCTTCGCACGCTCCACCTTTCAGGGATCTCCACAAGTGCCTTCGCCCGTGACAAATATCCACGAGACAACTGGTCAGAACTTTGAGCTACTTTGAGCAACTGAGCCTCAGCGGTCATAGGGTTCTCCTTGCCTTCCTTGCTGGCTTCGCTCCAGCGCTTCTCGTACTTCGTGAAGGCCTTGTGCTTGCGGCCTGTCCACGTCTTGTAGAAGCGCCTGGCATGAAATAGCAAGCGCACACCTTGCTCTGCAAACAGGCAACTGGCAAAAACTAGAGGCGCTCAGAGCGATGTTTAAGCTTGGGAAGCCTACACTTTGTTTTTTCCGCTTGTGCACACCTGCGGAGCTTCAATGTCCGGCCTCTTGCACTCCTCGGACAAATGACCCGCCCAAACGGAGGTCAAGGCTCGCAGCCCGCGTGGAGTCTCCACCTCATCTAGTGGGACCAGTGTGGCTCCATGCTTCTCATGCAGGCTTTCCTACAAAGCTTTCACCACTGCAGTGCTCCAATGAAAAAGCTAGCACCTCATGCGAGTTTAAGCTTCGTGCATAGCCCACGAATCCCACCACGACCATTGGCGGGCTCTCCAAGATGCTCACAGGCTCGACAATCCTTGGCTGCCAGGAATGTCTAAATGTGTCTGCCAACTTGATCTTTATATGTTGTACATTATTCTGCCCAGGCGAAGATTGAAAGGCAGCAAACATGAAGAAACACGCCAAAGCAGGTCAATCCCATGCAATTGGCCTGTGAAGGCTCTGTCAACAGGGCACCTGGCCAAACCTCTGAACCAAGACTCTCCTTCTTGTGCAGCTTCGAGCCTGGCCTATCTATGTCCCGGACAATGTGCGTCATGCCAGCCTTGGGCGAATGTGGAATGTGCTGTCAGAATATAATCTGGAGGCGACAGAAAGTATGAATCCGAGTTGTTGCAAACAGTCGGCCCGCTCGCCCACACACAGACACAAACCCAACCGCACACCCACCCACCCACCCGCCCGCCCGCCCGCCCGCCCACCCACCCACCCACCCACCCACCCACCCACCCACCCACCCACCCACCCACCCACGCACCGCACGCACCGCACCGCACGCACGCACGCACGCACGCACCCACGCACGCACGCGTTCACACACACACACACACACAAAAACCACACACACACACTCTCTATGAGCACGTGCCCTGCTGGTGCGCGTCTGACTCTAGAAAGCTCTCTGCATGTCACTCACTGAGCTAACTGGGCCCACCTTGTAGCTCATGAATGCCGTGAAGTGCGGCTTCTTTGCAGGATCATCCTTGGGGAAGCTCTTGATCTTGCCGTGGTGATGCCTTGCAACTCACCAATCTACGTCAAATCTCTATCATTGCAGAAACAGGCATACGTCCGTGTGCTCATATCTGGCCTGGTGCGCTTCCGGGGCAGAAAGCCCAGGGAGCCGTGGCGGGGGCGCTCAAACTTTCGGTGCGACATGGCGACCTGCAGCTACCTGCTAGCGGGCTCTGAATCGAATGCCTGAGCCGAAAAACAACAACACACAGACGCAACACGGATGAACCCGCAAATCCAATCACCAAGTCGGCCATCCAGCCCAAGCACCCAGCCAAGCCACCAAGCCGCCAAGCTCCACGCAGAGGGCAAACATGCGCCCAGACAATCCGGGAAACAAACAATCAGACACGCACATATTATACAGGCCGGACACTGGCAAACAATCCCGCAAAGATGCGGCGCAAAGAAAGCCACGCGCAACACGTGACCGAGACGTTGTTTCATTAAACATTCGGAGCTTGTCGACTCTCACGTGAATTCAAATGGAAAAGCTGCTGACCGTCTTGGGCAGCAGCCTTAGAACCAATTCGGCAGATTCCACCAGCGAAGCTTAGTTGCTGTGGAAATACCATTCCAATGCAGCCGAGCTTTTTCTGGAAAATGGTAGACTAGAATGCTCGGACAAAGCCAGCAACAGGCACTTACTCTTACATCACTCGGACAAAAGCGGCAATCATGGATAGCAGCAAAACAAACACCGCCCAGGTGGGCGTCAGCGATCGATTTTGTTTCGCGTCCTCGAGAGCATTGGCAAATGCAGTTTCCGCACACACGCACACCGAAACTACCGCAGCCAGCGCTAGGAGGTTCACAGCCCGCAGCTGATCTTAGAGACATCATATGACAGGCAAAGAGAAGCCAGCGTGAAAGTGATATGACTCTAGAAACCATCTCGTCTCTCTGTCTTTTCTGAGGCAAGAAGGGATGGGAAAAGGAGAGTGGAGATCCATCACCATTCATTCGTTGCTATACAATGGTAATTCCACTCATCTCCACTCATCATGAGAAATTACTAGAAGAAAGGGAGATGAGGGAAATGGTCATATCCTCTTTTCCTTCCGTCTCATTCTCTCCGTTCAGCTGCGAGGAAAAGGAACGGATGGAGAATGAAGGGAGAGGGAAGGACGGCTATCTTGGTTCACCATCCTTCATCTCTTACTCTTGGGGACTTCTACCCAGGATCTCGAGGCAAATGGAGTAACCAAGTGTGATGCGAGCCAAGCTTCTGACAGAACAGTGGTCTTGGCCTTGCGGTCTTGTGGCTTGTACACTTGACTCCTGTGCCCAGGTTGAACTCTCATCAGGCAAAAGAAGCACAAAACTTTGCCCATCAATGCGTTCACTCACTTGCAATCTATTCTGTCCGGAAATTTGAGGGAGGACTCGACACAGTCAAGCGTTGGCGGCGTCCTTCCAGGCAGCCTTTCTGCCGCCTCTGCATACTGCGCGTAGCGGCGCCGGAACTCGTCAATGTCGGGGGGCCAGTTGAAGACTGCCACGGGCAAAAACATGTGCAGAAACACGAGGAGAGCTTTGGAGTCAGTAGCCCCTGTCTGTCTGTAGTTACCACATTGCATTTAGGTATCAGTAAATCCTGAGCACGCCCCTCAAGATGTCGCATTGACGAGCACTGAGACTCTGGTGGAACTGTGCAGCATATTCGGATATGCGTGAACGCTCTGACTAGATGTGAGCTGCTCCTGAATTTATGCTAGGTTGAGCAAGCTTTAATCGTAAAACAGCATTATAACACTTGTGAGCCAGCCAACATTCCATGTGCTCCAACTGGGTAGGCTTATCTTGTATTGGTAACATGCAAGTGCGCCCATATGGTAGACAATGGTGGATACTGGCGGTTGCATCAGTTCTCACTTTTGCATCGAACCCCTCAAATCCAACACAAATACATGGCCTGCCAGCCTACCATTTCTCAGCCCATCCACCCACCCTAGTCCCGATGTTGTTGGCACGTGCTGTATTCAGAAAAGGCAGACCTGCAAGGTACGTGCAAGCTTGCAAGGCTGACCATCCCAAGAATTTGTTCCACCGTACGCCACAGGCAGCTGATCTGCAGGAATGTACCTTAGACAGGGTCAGTCTTCACGTTTTGGAGTGCCCGACCCTTGCGCGAACAGTGTGCCACTGAGAGCTTCGCTCAAGCAGCTCGCGCTGGAAATCTGAGCCCAGCAAATGCATCTTGCTAGCAGTCACCTCAACTGCATGTGACAACCACATGTGACATGCAGAAGAGAATTAGAAACGGGATCTTGAAACCAAAGCCGGGTTGCTGGATCAATCCACTCCTTGATGAGACGCCAGATTGCAAGAAAGACCGGCGGAGTGTTCAGGAAAAACTGGATCCTTGGCTGGGCCTAGTTGCTTTGAGAGTGACTGCTTTGTTGTCCCATGGTGCCCATCCTCCCTTCAATGCAGGCTGGCCTCCCCAATGTCTCCGGATAGTACCGCTGGCTGACACTCAGGAAATCCTTAAAAACGGCAAGAGCCCTCGGATCCGGCCAAAAGCTCAGGCCTTTGAAGTCCATAATGACAACCTTGGTGCAAACGTTTAACAGCACCTTCAAGTGCCCAACCAAATCATTGAAATCACATACACGCCTTGCACGGAGAAAAGGTTTCAAGTGTGCAGTGATTCCGCGCCTGCTGTGTCACACGCCTCCCAAGTCGAGCTGAAGACTCTTGCATACGCGCAGCTTGGCTCTCCTGGCAGTTGCGCAGGTTGTTCATATTGAGCGCATCTTGCGAAGCACGTCAAGAAGGATTGTGCAGTCTTGTGTCTCGGGTAATCTGTTCTCCATTGCCCCTGATCTTTGTGGACGGTTGCGTACAAGCTACAAGTGGTGGGTGTTGTAATAACGGAAAACAAATCGGTGCCTAACCACCCTAGTTTCTCAGCTTGCCTGGTACATGGATTCGAACTTCTTTGAACAAACCGCCTACCTGACATTGCATGGCTTTAAGGCATATTGTCGTTTGCCTCACATGGGCTTCTATTGCCCGCAAAAACATTGTTCACCTCGATGATATCGATTCACCCCAGACGACCAGTCTCCTGTGCACGAACATATCCGTCATATATGATCTTGTAGGTCGGCTTAGTCAAAGTGCATTCCGCAGGAGCACTCTCAAAAAAGGTATTTCGCAGCCAAACTGCATGGCACACAAGCAACCCAGCGAATTCGTTCAGAAACTAACATGCCAAGATACATCTTTCCCGGCGAAGGAGTACATTGCGGCAAATCTCTGACTGGCCAGGCCAGCCTGCTGTAAATGGATCGGGCGCCCTTCCTTGTCAAAGCCAGCGGTGACCTTCAGCGTGGAGATGAGCTGAGCCAAGGGGTGGGCTACGTAGAACATGCTGAAATCGTTGCTGGAAAATGCTCCAAGCATATCAGCAACAGCCTTGTCACTGCACTAGGGTTGGCAAACTACCTGCTTGAACATGGTTTAAGCACCACTAAGCACCCATTGTTTACACATCCTCTCTTTGTTGTAGTCTTCAGCCTAGCAGCTGTCATGCCATAGTACAGCCAAGCGCCCTCATCCTCACGTGGCTTCACCAGCCGCAGCTGAGGGAAGCACTCCATTCCGTCGCAAAAGAGCTGAGGGTCCTGAACACGAATTCCGAGAACAAACGTCCATTAGAATGCGGTCGTTGTGAACACTGTCGCGTTGCTTGGGACAGATTTGTGGCCCTTTCAGATGCGAGTTGCAGCCACTCAACCACGAAACTCATTAGAGACTCAGGTTGTTCAAGTGGCCAAGGGCCGGTGCAATTCAAACCCAGAGGCAACCGTCCTGCACATCTTCAAAAGGTCCAGGCGCTTTGGCCCTGAAATCATCAATGTGATGCTGCTGCCTCCACTGCAGGGTCTCCTGGCATGGAGAATGTTCGAGCTGAAAGGCGTCAGTATCATTGGGCACCACTTTGAATGCCGTGCAGAACAAGGCTCTTTGTTTGCTCAAAACGAAAAACCAGCACATGATGCGGAACACAAGGAAGAAAGTAACATTCCTCCACCCTAACAACCACATTCATAGGCCCATGGATGCATATCTGAAATGCGAGTAGTTAAGCGGGTCAAACGCCCATCGCATTTCAAATTGTCGAGAACAGAACAAAATATCTCCTCAAACTGCTGCAGGGCTGCAGAGACATCCCATTTTCGCGCCTCAGCTTAACCAATTTGGACAAAGCAGGACAAGAGCGGGGATGGCGGCAGATTCTTGTTATGGCTGGTGAGTCATCTCCAAGCCTTTTCCGGCTGCTCCCAGAATATCCGCCCATCCCTGCCTTCCCCAGCTTTGTTTCTCTCAACATCAGGGAGGTCTTCCATCAAGCGCCATGGCCCCTGTTGGGCTTGCTTCAAAACAGAAACCAAACGGAAACGATTTGGGAGGCTGCTAGCCTTGTTTTTCTATGCTGGATCTGCCACTGGGCAAAGCACTCGCAGGAAGCGCAGCAAATCATAGTCTGGCACATCGCCATGCCCAGCTGGAAGCGATCGTCTAAAGTCCTTGCCAGGGGATGCCAGGGGCATTTGCCAATTTGCAGTGTAACGGAGCGATCGACATGGACAGGTCTCAGCTCCAAATCAACACGATCAGGGTAGTTCACTGGAGGTGCGGCAGCCTATAGCAAGAGTCTTGAAAACCAAATCATGGCGAGCTGTGATCTCAACAACCACGCACAACTCAAACTAGTAAAGCCAAAAAACAATAATCCTTCACACAGAACCGCATACCGTAAATCATTTAATCAAAGTGTAAGAAGCTAATATTCAGACCATCGTTGTGTTGTGCGTTTGCATCATCTTTCGTTGTATGCCTTGTTGGGTTTCATGCTTTGTTGTGCTCACTGTGCTGTGTGCTAGTCCAAGGTCGGTCGACATGCGGACAAAATGTCTTTGAAAGTCTTTGCGTGACACGCAAACGTAAAATAAGCTAGAAATGGCCTGATCACCTGTCACACATCTGAAAACAGTCTGGAATTGCAAACAAGCATGGGCATTCAATCCGGCTGAGCCGGAAGAAGGAGAGGGAGTGACACACGAGCAGCTGCGGCGAAAGCCAATACACGCAAAGAGCGCATTGGCAGTGACACCTATCATCATAATTGTTTTGCGCCAAGCTGCTCTCAACTTCGCTGTCTGCTCAGGAGTGACTGATGCAGCTTCAAGTGACTCGATCCTCAACATGCTTGTCAAGCAACACTGGCTTGCACAAATGCCGCTGTGCTTGAGCAAAGCTTGCTTCAGCAACTACATGCCGATCAAATCAAAAACAATGAATGTCAAGCTGCCTTGGCACTCTACTCTTGCCTGGTGAAAAGCCCTCCCAGCAGCACAGCATGACAGCATTTGATGGATGGGCCCTGTGTGTAGCATTCAAACATTTGCATTCGGTAAGCTTGTCGTCTCAAAATCACAGCAGGCCCTCTCTGACACGGAGTAACTAGACGTAGTATGCCCCAAACAGCTGTGTCGTGCAAGATCTGTTGCAAAAAAGGTCAGAGAAGCTGTATCGATGAACGATATCTCTTGCATCTCAGTTGATGAATCAAGCCAAACAGCTGCAAGGAAGAGCTGGCAGCATGCTCCAACCAATCTAGCCGGTATTCACCAGCCATATGTCGGTACATCGCGCTAAACCTGGGCAAAACCACTTGTCTCATATTATGTGATCATTCAGCGGTCCAAACATGCCTATCTGATCTCCGCGTGTTGCACCCCACCACCACTTTACTCCCAAAGCATTCACTTGAGCAATCCTTCTGGAGCCAACGGGCTTGGCCCTCGGCATCGCCATAAGCCATATCCGCCACCAAAGCTTTCTGATGGCACAATGAATTTGCAGTCTCAGCGAAACAATGCGAAACAGCAAACCCAGGCAGAGTTGAATGCCAAAGCTGCAAATATGACAAGTCTCATGCACATGAAGGCAAATTACTGCCTGTGTCAGCTAGGTCCAGGCTGCTACTAAGTAGCAGTAGTCAACACATCGAGCAAAAAGGCTGTGCCACTCAACAGTTCTCGAACGAACGATCACTGAGTGCACAGAAAATCGCAAGTACGACAAGTAAAAGTACAAGTGCACAACAGGCTGAAGCATGGGCTTGCAGCAGCTTCCACGTTGCGATTGTGAAAAGCCCTGAGGCCTGTCTCGTTGCAACAAGCTCCACGCCTCCAGCCACACACTGGAGATTGAAAAAAGTGCCTCATTTGAAGCTTCTAGTCCAGGCTCTCCACTGTTCAGACCTGTGGGACACCAGCAGCGATCAATACCATCCAGAACTAAAATGCGAGGAGAATCTGCGGAAAAAATGGAGACTCGTGATGGAATAGAGACGAGACTTGTCTGCACTGGCGGTCAGAGCCTAAACGGCTGAACTTACAACATCTGTCAGCGAAGCTACCCAGTGAACTGAGTTTCCAACCCGCTTGTATCCATCGGAAGGAGGGGACATCCTTCATTCGGTACAGTCACTGACAATGCAGGGATGTCAGGAAAAACAACGGGAACAAACTGAAGAAATGTGTGACGCATTGAGCCCTGACGACGTTGAATTACGTCAGGCAACATTTTGTTGCAGCACAATCACCAATTGTATGGGAAAGCAGTGTCTCCTGCCACTGGATGCCGTGCTATCTTCACCTTAGGATGGCATTAGCCGCTCACCAATCTCCAAGTACTCTGAGGCTCCCCCCCACTAATTTGGAAGAATTCCACGGCTTGCGGTCAATCCAAGGACGGAGCTGCCGACGGACATGCAGTCTTCCTCAGCAAATTGCTTCAATCCCTTCCAGGATGCTGTCAACACACGTGTGGTGACTCATCTACCTCTGGTCCCCTCAAGCCTTCTCACATCAAAGCACAAGCACTCAAGCCTGTATTTTATCAAGGGAACACTGATCCCTTCAAATGACGGCGCCAGGGTCCAGGCGTTGGATTTGCGTCGCCGGTGTACCCGCTTTTTCTCTGAAGGTGGCCTCGGGAAAACATGACGTGAGGTGAAGGCCACTCGCTCGCTGCAGTAGACTCGTCTCAGGTATCAGAGTTGCGCGCTTCTATTCAGTGCGTGTGGCAGCGATCTGATTGCATTGAGCTGCGGGCGCTGGCTCTGGTAAGAGGTGCCAGGGAATGTCGCCTGCGCATCACAAGCCAATGTGTGTTGTGTCAATAGCCGTCTGTACGTCGCTCAGCATCGTGTTAGTCACGCGCAGGCACACACACACGTATCATATAAGGGTCTATTTTGAGGGTACGCCTTGGGTTTTTTTTAAAGAAAACCAAACGGACACCTAGCATTTTAGGGGTTCCCTATTATAAGACACACCCGCATGTACATTGTACACTAAGTGCTCACACATACTGGCGCACGCATGCAGTCAACTGCAAGCAAGCCAGGGCAGGGCACTGACAGTGAACACAAGCACCGCCGAACACATGCACTGGATTGACTGGATATCACTCACGGCTTCGCTCTAGGCTAATACGCATGCAAATCACGAGCAATTACTTGAAATGGCCAAACGATCTGGAGCTCAATTCAATATATGTTTTCGCCAATTTGCAATGCGTGAACAAAATCTCACTGGGGAACGCGTGACCTTGCATGACATTCTGATTGCAACCTGTAACTAGAATGCAATACATCCTGGAATCTGGAAGACATCCGAAATGGATCAAAGTTGCAAACCAGAAGTCTGCTCTTTCCCTCTTAACTAAAAGCTGGCCCCGGCTTCAAACAGAGAACCTTGTTCCACCATATGGCAGTTGATCAATATTCCTGTTTCCGGAAAACGCCATCTTCGCGAGAAGAAAGTTTCTTTCGCGAATCTTTCGCGACTCCATCGCCACGCCCTTTTGTTTGCAGCGTGCGCTCTGGAGCCATTGTGGCTGCTGCAGTTGTGCTTGCAAACACGGTAATAGCCGCAGTTCACTTGCGCTGGCAGGCTTGCAGTGGCGTTAAAAGAAAGCAGTCACCGTCATTCGCCCTTGTCACTTGCGCTTGCCGGGGAAGTGCGGACCTTGCAACAAGCTCCATGGACTTTCGCCGGTCTTTCGCGGATCTTTCGCGAAACTTGCTCCAAAATAGCCCAGCCAACGTTATTGGTTTGCACCATTCCCAACACAGGAATGAGAATCAATAATGCAAGTATAAGTGCTGCGCATCTCCCTGTCTACAAGGGAGCAGGGTCTGCAAATATGCAAGTGCACAGGATGCCTCCAAGAACCCAACGCGGAATCTTTCGCGAAAAATACAGTTTCTTTCGCGAACTTCATCGCCGATCTTTTGCGGAGGGATTTAAACAAAGACGAACGGTCACCGAATACATAACTCCTTGCAAGGACCTTTTGATCAACCCCCATGCCAAGATGATGGCACGGCCATCAGAATGCAGGCAAGTGCCCCGGTTCTGGTCTGGCTGGGCCTTTAAGAGGCATGGGGCTGGTTTCGTGCGGGCCTCCAAGTCCTGTGTCACCACCTTTTGGGCACTGCCAAATACGGCAAATGCAACTCACATGTGGGTTGCCGCGCAACCAGATCCCAAGCCTTGTGCTGAACGACACCCACTGGGTGCCCTGACGTGTGCGCTCCGCTGGCTTCGCCTCCTCAAAGTGTACATTCCGCCTGGCACGTGATCATGCAGTTGTGAGCTCATACCCCACAAACAGGCCAAGTCTTAGAGAAGTGGCATTGTCGTTGGAGCTTTGCCCGTCGCTTCAGATGTGCCTCTAATTGTAGGATCACCAGGCTCAGTTGTTTGGGGCTAGAGGCTTGCCCACCGACCCACTCTTTCGGTCGTGAGCCACTCGCAAACGAATCCATGTGCTTGAGCTGAGGCAAAACGAGTAAAGACTCGTCTTCAGCGCCAGCTTCAGACTACACAAACACGTTGAACATCCTCTTCTTGGCTTGGCAGTGTGGCCTTGGAAGAACTCGGCAAGACAACATTCAACGCCATTGCGGGCAGTTCCCACTGGCTCGAGTAAAATTGCCCGAGTGTCCTGGCGTTTTTGAACTTAAAGCCATCGCCAATGCATCGTGCTCAGCTACACACTGGTTGCCTCTCAGAATTGCAGCTAAATAGGCCTCTCAGACTGCAAGACCTGCAATTTGGGACAATTGGTGGTTGGGTCTGGATTGAATGACAATATCCAACAATGCCTAAGTTCCAGATCCTGTGCAGTCTGCCCTTGGAGTGTGAACATGATTCACATATGGTTTAACCTCTAGGAAAGTCTGGCACGCGTAAGATGTGCGGCATGTTCCCGCGTCCCCTGTCTCTTTTTCAAGAAAGTCTGCTCTTCTGTGCATCATTTACAACTGATAAGAATGCAACCGTGTGCATTCCTGGCTTCCGCAGTCATGGCTATTGCATTGCAACCTAAATGATCCTGAATGCAGAGCACCACGCTGCCATGACCACGCATCCCTTCGGCCCAGCCTGGTTGCCTCAGTCGAGAACAGCCATGGATTCGAGTCTTAGAGGGGACGATTCCGCTTTTCAGTGGCCCTAGAAACGTGTCTGGCTCACTGCTTACCCACACTTACCCTATGCAGCAGAAATCGACCAACTTCTACATTCATTCATCTGAACACAGGAATGCCCAAGCCCGCCTTCGGCGAGACTGACGTGTGCTTGACCTGCATATCAAGCCCGATTCGCATTGATGCCCCTTTTGTAGCCAGTGGGTGCACTTTGTCGGTCCTCTTGGAGGTCAGCAAGTCCTCGCGTGACAGCTGCCGCTTCAGCCTGCACGTTCAAAGCAAATCCTTAAATCCTGACGTGCTTTGCTTCTCACAACTCCTTTTCTTAAACAAACGCAGTCATGAACTTCTTCGGATAATCCGTTTGGATAGCCGCCACCCCGCTGTATGAGCTGCATGCTTTGACCGCGGCAGCAGTGTTAGCAATGAAAAGGATCGTGGGCACATTGTAGCGCGCGGAAAGGTGTGTAAATAATCTGGGAGTATCGGTCCAGCGTTTCAAGAACCAAAGCAAGGTTCCAATAATGCAATTTGTTATAGATCTGCTTTGTGGGTTGGTCTTGGCAATTTTACACAGCGCTGGATACCAAGGTTCGCTGATGTGTGGCACGTTGAACACGATGGGTCCGTCCACCAAGAATGGCAGCACCCGATGCAGGCCCAGGCACCGCAAGCCAATGTTCCAACATGTCCACACGCGGAAGGCTTGCGGAAGGGTGATCAGCACAGGAATTTCCGGACAAGCCGTTCGACACCAGGATTGAATCTGCAACTTCTCTGGAGAGCCCCAAGCTGCGACTTGCTGTAGCAACCCATAACGACGAAGGAGGTCCGCCGCATGCATAACCAACTCTTCAGATTCCTGCCAAAACTCCAGAATGATCCTAGCATTCTTTCCCACGAGCAGGTTGCAGGCGTCTTCGAACAGGCTCACCTGTGGATCATTCACCCTCACAGGAGAAGCACCTTGTGGGCAAAATGCGTTCGGCTGAAATTCAGCCTTGAAGCGAGGAAGCTCACTATAGCTGAAGTCCTCAATCTGTCCTGCGACACCCATGAGTTGTTCCATGTTTCGCTCCAAGGGCACGTCGTGAAAAAGGACCGCTTGCTTGTCTTTTGTGTGCATCACATCGAGCTGAAGCAAAGGAACGTTCAGCTTCAGGCAGTACTCTATGCTTTCCAACGTGTTCTCTGGTGCCTCTCCCCCGCCGCAGCGATGTGCTACCATCAGCGGCAAAGCGCCAAAGGCGCGCTCGAGAAGTGGTGAGGTGGACATGGCCGCGAAAATCCGGCGACTCGACTCGAGCCAAACAAGATTACGTCCGCAATCCGTAGGGGCTCGCCACTACAAGAGAAACAATCACCATCTGCCACAAGGTTCTTGCGGAAGAAGACTACAATGGGTACAGCGTCCCAAGGTTTGGTCCACCCCTTTCCCCTTTCCCAGTTGCCTAGCTGCTTGCCCTGGCCTCCAGGTCGCCGCTGGGCCCGCGCAGCGGGTCCTGGGGAATGGCACATTGGCATCGAAGGCATGCTGAACAAGGGCAAAGTTTGTTCAAAAACGATGCACGGATTGCTCCTCCAGTGTGGGCTCCATTCTGTACATAGCCGCAGTCAGCCTGCTGTCCTACGGGACGAGTCAAGGCTTCAAGGCGCACTGCGTTGTGTTTGTGCGTTGTCAGATTTGTCCCACGTTCAAAGGCCAAGTACTCGTAGCCCATCATCTAGGCTGTCCTCGCTGGGTACAGGTACCCACGGGTCATGCGCAGCCAAGTCCTGGAGTCGGAACACAAACAACCATCACTGACATATGTTGGGTGCCTTCTCTATGGTTTCGGAGCATAACCCGGGTTCTTCCGGACATTGGATCCAGCAAAGAAAAGTGCCATTTGGTCTGGGGGATTGCCTGAAACACGTCAGTCCTCGGCAGCTGTCCCAAAGTAAGCCGTATACACGACTGGTGTGGTCAGGACCTCTAGTCAAGCCACGCAGGCTGCAACATGCTACAACCAAGTCAGCATTGAATGAGAGCTGCCTACATTTCGACTGAACCCAATGAACCTGCTGCTGACATGCAGTACAAACACCATCAGATCACTTTTCAACATCCAATCTGCCGAAGCAATCTGGCGAGCGTCTCATTTCCCAGCCTGCACGGGCGCTCCTTCTCTGTTTGTGCTGTCCTGTGCAGTTGCTGTGCCGTGACAACACAGGGCCGGAAGGCAAATGTCTCTGCACAAAACGCGTTGCACTGGTCAGCGCGTCCAAACAGTGATACCGGCAATGTCTTTGGATTGCGGTTCCCAACGGCGTCAGGTGTGCGGAGGCGAGGTCTTTAGGCTTAATTGGCCATGATCAAACTCCGTCCTTGCCCACAAAATGCTTCTGCACGTCATTCCTGGCAATGGACACGGCTCCCAACTGTCAGGGCTGCAAACATCTGGAAACACAAAACTGACAAAAGCATATCTTGAGTATGCGGAGTTTCACATCCCACGCAGTGACCAAGGAAGATCCTCTCTCTCGACAGCAAACACGGAAACCGTAGTATGCCCTACACGTCACCAAGGCATGATGAAAGGTACAATTAGGATCACCCTGGAAGATGTATTTGTTGCTGCGGAATGTGCCGCAGATTCATCTGAAACAAGTGGTCGAATTGTAGCCTTTCAGAGCTGAGATGTGTGGCGGCTATCATCAAACATGAACCCTTGGGCGTCTTAGTACGCAGGCCTGGGCAACTGTTCATCTGTTGGGGAGAGCCAGAAGTTCAGCTGCTGGACACCTTGCTGAACCTGGAGTCACGCAGTCTGGAAGTTCTCAGAGTTCGCGGTTTTCAATGTCTGCCAAGTGCACTGCCAAGCTTGGCTGTCGGGACGCAACCTACATACAAAGCGTCATGAGGCCAGCTAGGGCACCTCGAGCCTCCCATCCCTATGGCCCCGACACACTCGCCAACGTTCTGCTGGCAGTTGCAGTGATACTGGCCGCATCTGACACAACCTGCCACCAGCCTCAGACTGCTGAGATCAGGCAAATACGAACAAGAGCAGCGCCCGAGTTTCCGAGTTTGTTGCAAATCTCACAATGCATGGCGATCCTGGGGGGCAAACGCCTTTTGCATTCGGAACTTCCGCACTGACTGACTATCCGGACTCTGCATCTTCGGAAAGAGAAAGCCGAGATGTTGACACGAGACATCGTGATTCAAATGTCTCAACAGTACTTTCTTGTTCGAGGCAATCATCTAGACTCTGCTTTGTTAAGGGCCGCTCAGAATCTGCTCCTCCGTCTCCCTCTCACCGCAACAAATGGAGCGGCAAGACCACGACATCAGCAGGGCTGGGAGCTACGGAACCGCTGCCAGCATCTTGTGGCTCACAGTCAGGTCTAGAGTCTAGGATCTTTCAGGTCATGCCTTCGTGTGCTGCTTTTCTAAGCGCCCATTTCTGCATGCTGAACCTTCTGCTGATGGACACCATTGGGCAACCGGAATCAAGAATTGATGGAGTGTTTATACCACGTGCCGCCGACACAATTTGAAGGACACAACTGCAGTGCGATCCATGCGCCTCCGTCTGTGCTTATGATTGATTTGTTCAGTTGGCTGAAATTCCGTTTCCGACAGCTACCCTTTACGCGAGTACACAAGATTAGCTGTTACATAAGCACTCGTTGGCAGCTCCAATCCAACTGTCAATAGATTCGGCACAAGTGCAGCACGCAAAGCGCACTTTGGAAGCTCCATCTGGAACACCGCTCTTTCCTTCAGTAAAAACGTGCACGGCTTCGGCAACTCCAGCTGGAACATCGCAATATTGGCTGAAAGCGGAGCACTTACACTCCGTGCATGGAAGCTGGTACTGAGGTCCAGGGACTTTTGCAAAACTTTCGCGAATCTTGCGCCATCTACAATGTGGCAGCCAAACAGAAGCCTGGCTAGTGCTGCACCAAGTATGTGCAACCAATCTGCAAAGCCAGGCGCCGGCGCAAGCTTTGCCAACAAGAAAGTGTCTTTCGCGAGCTACATGCTGCGAGGCGGTTTGCAGAAGGCAAAATATTGTTCCTCTGCACATCTCAAGCTTGGGAGCTTTCGGACGACTCTCATGCATTCTTGCCTTTGCTCTGCAGCCCACCCGGCTGCTCAGCCCAGCCGGCATCATTTGCTCAAGCCCGCATTGCTCTCATAGTGGCAGTGCGCATCATTTACAATAATTCCTTTGCTCGATATGGACCAGCTGGTGACACATTCTTGTGGAGGTGTGTGTGTGTGCAGGGCATCTCTTTGATTGATGGTTTTCTTTGGCGACCGTTGGAGAAATCGTCAACATTTTCTCCTTCACAAGGCTAGGCTGGGCTGCTATGTTGACTTTCCAACAGCTTGGATCTGCGTGATCAAAGCTGCTACGTTTCAGCGCATTTGTCAATGGGATAGGATGATGCGCGAGCTGCGGATTGCTGTAGCCCATTCGAGCAAGACCTAGGCTGCACCTGACAAAAGATTCGGTGTTGCATTTGCCCGGTCAGAAGCATCAAAGCACTTCCGGTGTTCAAATGCCTACAAATGCTGGCCTTGAGCCACAACCAAGCAATCATACGTGTCTGGTTCAAGACACCTGGTGAGTGCAGTGTGAGCATGTCTTCAGAAGTGACTGCTAGGTCGCTTTCGAAGCTCTTATTCAAACTCGGAGCTCGGTGAAGCTCTGCTTTGCGCTGAGCACCAAATGGTTAAACGAGTGAGCAAACTATGTCACTGAAGGGGCAAACCTCTCGGTTGTTACATTGAAAGCAAAGCCCAATGAAGACTATACTAACGATGGTGATATCAGAATGCGGTGAAAGCCGTAATATGGGTGCAAGCAGCTAATCCAATGCTAGTATGGCAGGCTGCCGGGTAGGCATCTTGCCAAGTGCTTTGTACAGCCCCCATGTGGGGGTCGGGCAATGTAGGGCTTTCCACCGCACACCTTTACTTGAAAACATAGTTGCGCTGAAGCATCCGAGCATGTTAAATGGTAAGAAAGCCTCGGTTCTAACATGTTAAGGCTACTGCAAGTTAGCCCAGCAAGTCAGCAAAAGCATCCACATCACTACCTTGTCCATTGGCGGCTGGCACGCTTCCAGGCTCACTCTGCTCGGCGTGTCCAACTGGCTTCTCCTCCGCTTCCTTCTTGGCCTTCTCTTCAGCTGCCTTCTGCGCTGCCTCTTCTGCCTCCTTCTTGGCCTTCTCCTCAGCCGCCTTCTGCGCTGCCTCTTCTGCCTCCTTCTTGGCCTTCTCCTTACCCGCCTTCTGCGCTGCCTCTGCTGCCTCCTTCTTGGCCTCCTCCTCAGCCGCCTTCTGCGCTGCCTCTTCTGCATCCTTCTTGGCCTTCTCCTCGGCCGCCTTCTGCGCTGCCTCTTCTGCCTCCTTCTTGGCCTTCTCCTCAGCCGCCTTCTGCGCTGCCTCTTCTGCCTCTTTCTTGGCCTTCTCCTCAGCCGCCTTCTGTGCTGCCTCTTCTGCCTCCTTCTTGGCCTCCTCCTCAGCCGCCTTCTGCGCTGCCTCTTCTGCCTCCTTCTTGGCCTTCTCAGCCGCCTTCTGCGCTGCCTCTTCTGCCTCCTTCTTGGCCTTCTCCTGAGCCGCCTTCTGCACTGCCTCTTCTGCCTCCTTCTTCGCCTTCTCCTCAGCCGCCTGCTGCGCTGCCTTCTCCTCAGCCGCCTTCTGCGCAGCCTCATCTGCCTCCTTCTTGGCTTTCTCCTCGGCCGCCTTCTGCACTGCCTCTTCTGCCTCCTTTTTCGCCTTCTCCTCAGCCGCCTGCTGCGCTGCCTTCTCCTCAGCCGCCTTCTGCGCAGCCTCATCTGCCTCCTTCTTGGCTTTCTCCTCGGCCGCCTTCTGCACTGCCTCTTCTGCCTCCTTCTTCGCCTTCTCCTCAGCCGCCTGCTGCGCTGCCTTCTCCTCAGCCGCCTTCTGCGCAGCCTCATCTGCCTCCTTCTCGGCTTTCTCCTCAGCCGCCTTTTGCGCCGCCTCCTCTGCCTGCTTCTTGGCCTTCTCTTCAGCCTCCCTCTGCGCTTTCTCCGCTGCTTCCTTCTTGGCCTGTTCCTGCGCATCAGTTCGAGCCTGCTCCTCTTCCTTTTGTGGGCTTCCGCTGACCGTCTCCGCCATGCCGTTGCTGCTTGCGCTAGCCTACGACGAATGCAGAAAGCGCTAGTAAGCGCGCAGCAGGGACACAAGCGCGCACTCGCAGCCACACACACACCCAAACACACACCCAGAAACACACCCAGACACACACACACAGAGACAGAGACAGAGAGAGAGACAGAGACAGAGACAGAGACACACAGACACACAAACACACAGACACACAAACACACAGACACAGAGACACACAAACACACAGACAGAGACACAGAGACACAGAGACACACAGACACAAGACACACAGACACACAGACACACAGACACACAGACACACAGACACACAGACACACAGACACACAGACACACAGACACACAGACACACAGACACACAGACACACACACACAGACACACAGACACACAGACACACAGACACACAGACACACAGAGACACAGAGACACAGAGACACAGAGACACAGAGACACAGAGACACAGAGACACAGAGACACAGAGACACAGAGACACAGAGACACAGAGAGACACAGAGACACAGAGACACAGAGACACAGAGACACAGAGACACAGAGACACAGACACAGACACACAGACACACAGACACACAGACACACAGACACACAGACACACAGACACACAGACACACAGACACACAGACACACAGACACACAGACACACAGACACACAGACACACAGACACACAGACACACAGACACAGACACACAGACACACGACACACAGACACACAGACACACAGACACACAGACACACAGACACACAGACACACAGACACACAGACACACAGACACACAGACACACAGACACACAGACCCACAGACACACAGACACACAGACACACAGACACACAGACACACACAGACACACAGACACACAGACACACAGACACACAGACACACAGACACACAGACACAACAGACACACACACACACACCCACCCACCCACCCACCCACCCACGCACGCACGCACGCACGCACGCACGCACGCACGCACGCACGCACGCACGCACTTACGCACGCACACACACACACACAAAAGTGGGCCACACAAACTGCATATCTAGACTTAAACCTCTGAAGCATGCTAAGCCAAGCACGCAACGAACAAACCGATCACCCAAAGTAAACAAGTTGGGTGTACGTGTGCCTGAGGTCTCTGCAGCAGGTCGGTGATATCCAAAGTTGAACTTTTGTTTCTGATTGCTGACATTTCCAGACATAGCCCGACACATGTATCACATCAAATGCCTTGGTGACGACCAATCCATGCCATTGCTTTGCGACACAGGTCACGCCCACCTCGGCCATTGATGCGGCAGCAGGGGGCTGAACAGGCGCTGATGGATAGCCTGCAATCGGGCGGAAACACGTTTCTGCAATCGCAGCTGTGTTGCATCACGCGGCACCTGTCAAAGCACGATGTGAACAATTCTCACTGCACGTCGCAAAGAAATGCTTGCCTACTCAAAATCATCTCAGCTGACCAATGCAGTGGCTATTGTGAAAGACAATCTAAATGCCATGTCATGACAAACTTGTCATGTGCCACACCTGCTGAGGATGAGGCCTTGGCAAGATCGTTCGTTCCAGGCAAGAGATGCTGAAGCTACTTGTCATGAAAACAAAACACGCGGGGTAAACAAAATGGCATTCTTGCGTTTTGGTCCTGTTAATGTGTTGTTAGTGGGTGGACACCCTGTTGGCAAACCATGCCCCAAGCAGCACGACATTGGATGCGCGCGAAAGGCCAAGTCTGGTAAGCACTGCACAGCTTCACCCTTTCCCGCCGGGCAGTCGTTGCACGGGTTGCCTGAATCTTATGCAGGTTTGGCTGAATCCCAGACTCTGCCAGTCCCAGCTTTCAACTTCTCGTCTCTGGGTAGCACTATGCAAAGCGCAAGACTCGTTCAAAGCAGCTGGCCTAAGTAGTCGATGCCTTTGCCGCCGCAGCTTCGGCATACCTGCATGCACCGAGGCATCCCAGCGCCCAACGCGGTGCACTACCCCATGAAAGCACACAAAAAAAAACGAGTCCTTGGAAAGGAGAAAAAGGGCTGAAACAAAAACAAGGGGCAAAAAAGGCGGGCAAAATGTAAATTGTGTACAAGTCTTTGTGCTGATCAAATACATTGGGGACTACCAAGCAATGCATGACGCACGAGCCTTTGGAGTTGCTGAACTGGAGGCAGCTTCGGATTCCTCCATGGAATGAGGGGATGGGGAGAGCGACGGGTGGTGAAGTCTCTGACCAACATCAAAACACCTTTCTGATCCACGCACAGAAAGGAAAGACTCATTGTCAAAGTGCACAAGCCTGCCATACGATGTCTTGCTACGGCCCAAGCAAAGGGCGGCCTCAAGGTTTCCACAATGTTCCCTCCAAAAGGCCCAGCACGACTCACCTCTTCACTGTCAGGCTGGTGGCTTGTGCCAAAGGACTGGAACCTCGGGCAGGTTGCAAACTCTGAGTGCGCAAACGCCTTTTCCGAGATGTGGAGTCGGTATTGCAACCATTGGAGCCATAATGCGACAGTGCAAGCAAAGCAGGCCCTTGAGCTGCATCTTGTTGGTTTGTCTATTTCGACTGTGCCTATGGATTCCCCCCTCTGGCAGGACCGCAGCCAGTATGCAGACAATGTTGGCCCTGTCAAGTGTTTCAATTGCATGAGGGCGAAGCTCCGCTTTACAACAGTAGTTGTAACTACTGAACCCTCAAACCCTGAGACCCCGGCCAAATTGCAGTCTTTGCTCCCCAGGAAGCAGCGCCCAATATGGAAGTTTTTGCTTTGTCACCTGCCTTGCAAGAATGCGGAACGCACCCGGAAGCAAAAATATGCAGCATGTGCCCCAACAATTTGTCACGAAGACAGGATTCGGATTTGCAAATACATGTAAAAAAAGAGGTCCAAATACCGGACTCAACGAAAACAGGAGTTGAAGCACACTTCACGGCCGTTTTACGGTAAAAAAAGAAGCTGGACGCTTGACTTATGGCCTGCTTCAGCTTGGGGTTGATCTGTTCTTGCAGCTCCTTGGCTTTCTCCTGGGACGGATGGCATCGAAGTGGTGGATCCATAAGGGGGGGTTGACTCGACCTCTTCGGAGTTGCACATATCGCGCTGATGTCTGTTTCATTGCAAGCTGGGCGGAAAATGAACGCGTGAGTCACGCGGCAATGCTTTTAAGTACAAGCCTTGACTTTGCTTTTGAAGCCGCTCTCTACTCTCGGCACTAGTCGGTGCTGCGCTGCAGAACTACTCCCAACAACCAATTCTGCGAGCAAGAACAACATACAGTACTCACTGCGACATTCTTGTCCCAAAGCCATACACATCAGGGCCCATCAATGAATCGACCTCGCCCTTGACGATTGGGTGAGAGCGGACCCGACCATGATGATGGTAGGCAATTTGTTGTACAAAGTGGATGCATGGCAAAGGCATCAATGACCGGTGCAAAGCAGAGATCACAATACGAACATCGACTCGCGGCTTCTCGTTTTGCTGTCGACTACGCAGAACCTTGACCACTGAGGATCCCCCGAGCGACTTAGTCTTTCGACTGGGGCAGTTTGTCTTAGTCGCCTTTGGAAGAGAATACGCATGCTTGTGTCGCAGTAGGAGAAACGATGCCGCTCTTGGCTTGTTTCGCACGATCACAAAGCTACCCTTCGCCAATGACTGGTCTCTTCTGCAACCCTCGAGACGCAGGGGCTGCGAGATTGCCCACGCAAGCGGTGGGGGTGCGCTGTGCTCAGAGCTCAAGCACTCAGGGGAGCGTGAGCCTAGAGATGCATAGGGACTCTGTGAGTGAGCATAAAGACATGTGCTCCAAGAGCTCGCTCGTTCTCTCCCTCTCTCTCTCTCTGAATTCCCAGTGCGAAAATACGCAAGGCACAAGCTTTGCAACCCACACAAGTCCTCTGTGTGCGCTAATCCAGTCTGGATGTCCTGGGCGAATATTATGGTTCGCGTCTCAGCTCAAGCAACATGCCGCAAAATCAACGAGGGCAACAAACTAGGCACATATTGAGCTCATGATCCATCAGTAGCTGCCTGGCATACTGCAATATTTGAGAACAAACAGACCATGCGGCACAATCAACCTCTGCTAAGGTTTGTGGGCCTTCTCCGTCTGGTGAAAATGCCTGACTCTTTTTACGCCCACTCAGCCGTCCGAAGCCAGTGCTCGGTCTGCCAAACCAAGCACAGCATAGAGCAAATGGTGCCGATGCAGCTTTGCCTTGCTCCATCACGCTGACGTCAGAGTTGCAAGGAGTTCACGCCTTGTCTTCCTCTGGCCATGGTTCATCCCCCGGTACCGGCGAGCACCTATGGAAGTTGATGCAGGCTTCGGATTCAGCCGCTTCAGTGGAAGCCCAGCAAGGGATAGTTGCGACCTGGCAAACAGGTCCAAACGCAAACGGCTCAGGGACCGCTATGACCCGCTCCGCCGGCCTTCTTCCACTGACTCCCCGATTCTCTGAGTGAGCAGCACGCCCATGTCATCCCTCACTGGCGCAAGCACTGGCCGCTTCCTGGGGCAATTCTGAGCACTGACTGCCTTGGGTGTGCCCCATCCAAGCATGGAACAAGGATCGGTCAGGAACTTTGCGTGCCGTCAATGGCTGGTGTCTTTGGGAAGCTAGAATAAACTTGAAAACAATATGATGCTAAACCCTGATGAACAGCACACGATTTACAAACATCCAACAGCCATTGCTGCCAAACATGCCCATACAAGCCTGTCCTTCCAAGATATTTGTAGTTCCACACCTGGACACTTCTCAAGGCAATGGTATGTAGCTCTGGCAGATGCAGATCAGCATGGATTTTGGAGCTCCAGCCTTCCAGTAGTCTGTAAATCCGCTATTCAGGAACCAGTTTCGCACCGTCTCCTCATGCACCACCCAATTGTAGAAGGTGAGCATGCCGTCAAGATGATCAAAGATGTCCTTGGCGCTGGTAGCTTATCTGATCATTCAGTCAAACTCAGATGCCACAAATGCCTGGAATGCGATTCCCGCGCATTTCCAGACTTGCTTTCTTGCATTCCTGTCGCCTTTCCGTACTCCTGCTCATTTCAGCTTCTCACCCTCGCCAAGTCTCAGCACCAGCTGCTTTGTGCGTTCTCCTTCACAAGATCGCAAAAGCGATGCGGCTGTGCGGGGATGCGGAAACCCAACGCTTGTCGTGTCCTGAGGAAGTCTAGCTTTTCCTCCCTGGTCTGCAGCTGGTGAAAGTTTTTACGAAATTGCTGCCTGGCAATTTGTGATGATATTCATGACACGAGAACAATCCAATGCCCTTCTCTCCAGTAGGTTGAGGCAGCTGCGTATAATGAAAGCCAGCTTTAGCTCGGTCGTTGTAGACCTCAATGTGGCCCCAACTGCTTGCTGTTGGCAACTCTCTGCCTCACTCTCTCTCCCTCTCCAAACACCCAAGGCCTGGATAAATAGCACGCCGCCTTCCCGAAGTGCTGAAGCGATGATCTTGAAGCCTGCACCGGGAAGCAATGGAAAACCCGGGATGCCAGGGCCAAGCCCTGAAAACACAACAAGAGTTTGGCTCAACCGAGGCTTCCTGAAAGTCTTAAAGTCTCAAAGTGTCTTGTCGAAGAACTCCCATGCAGTTGAGAATTCCTGGGAGCGCCGAGTGGAAGCTCGGCGTGTTGATTCCCTTCACTGTCCTTCAGGACATGATGCCTGCGTGCCCAAGTTGATGATAACACGTAGATAGTTGTCAAGTTGTCAAGCCAAATCACATGCGAGGTGGAACGCCAACCGTGGTGTTCCACAACTACATTGCCAATTTCATGCATGTATTGAGCACAACCTTGGCCCAGAACGTAAGGTCTGCAGGCCCTTCCAAGCAATCTCAGCATCTTCCAAGCTTTCGGCCTTTGTGCGGGTCATGCGTGTGGTGGAGGACGCCCCAGCAAATCACGAGATCGAATCCCGCCTGGCATGTTCCAACTTTAAGTGCAGCACTGCAACATACAGGGGGCGTAGAAAAACAACAAACGCACGGTTTGCTTTTGGCTGCCCAATGTGTACGTCTGCCTTCATGATTTCTCACGCTTGGATTGATCTTCGTCGAACACTGGATCACTGGCTGAATCTTGCACCATGATGCACTCAGGGTGCCTCAAAGTTCTTGAGAGTGGGCAGCTCAAACAAAGACCTAGCTGCCATGCGAGGTGCAGCTGCATCTGGGTGGATAATTTTTGCACTTCAAATGATACAAAGTCTTAACAGGCCTTGCAAGCCCAGGCGCATCTGGTGCGTATCAGGGTTGAAACGCCGCGTGGATTTCACCGCATTCGGCGAGGCATCCACGGAAGTGACCCGTGCTCCAATGCGCAGCAGCATAGCTGTCCAGCGGCCAAAGCCTAGAGCCAGCGTCAGAGTCCATCCCGGCGCTCGAGGCAGAAGGATCTCCAACGGCGTTTGGACATTGAAGGCACTGGTTGGTTTTCTGGATTTGTGGCTTGCCTCCGCTTCACCGCCTGTGGGGAATCTTCATATCAACACATTACACATTGTTACACATTGCGTCAAGCAAACCGACAAATCCGAACAAGGCGACTTTTCATGCCTTCCCGCCCGCCCTTCAACTTAGGTTGCAGCCGCACCCCACATCGAGAGCATCGGCCCCGTCAAAGCGGCTCGCGTCCAGTGTGACAAAATTCTGTCGTGAAATGCCACGCTCCAAACCTCGACAGAGGCAATGAGTTAGGAAAGTCTGGCTTTCTTCTGCAATCCACTTACCCCTCAAAACGACAACAAGAAGGACTGGCAAAGCCTGACCTACAAGTGTTTCTCAACAAACCTGGATGCTCACACTCAGGCATGACAAAGGTCTTGGCTAAATGCCGAGACACTTTCATGTTCAGCACGTGCGGCATCGCTGCAGTTTTTCAAGAAATCCTGCTGCCCAAAGGTGGACGCTATCATGTCCTGGACTGAGCTGACCAATGAAAGACGCGCTTCCGCTCTGCCAAAAAATGCTGCCAAGATTCGTTTAAGGCACAATCATCAAGCCGCACAGATGACCTGTGGTTGCTTCATTCTGCTGAGTGGGACTCTTTCACCTGACCAACCCTTGACGTGCCCAACATTCAGTGAACACAAGCAGTGTTTGAAGCATTCCAGCATTTGGTCCTATATTTTGCTAGTCCTTACACAAAGGATCGCGACGCTCCCGTCTATGTGCTTGCGTCACAATGCCTTGGGCATGCATTGCATGTTTTGACGCGTGTGCAGCGCTGGCGGCCAAGCCACTCCATGCCGAAGTCGCTCTTCGGCTGCTCAAGTGCCAATTGCCACTGCAAGTCCTAGGCTCCAAATGATCATCAAGAATGCTCTAGACTGGGATTCAGAAGGAAAGATTTAATGTGGAACAACGCATGCCCTTGAATTGTCGTTTATGCGTGATGCAATAGGGACATGCATGCTGCAACAGCAATACACTCAAATTAAATAGAGTCAGAGACGGGTACTGTACGACCTGATGATCGATAGAATCTAGCTGCTCAGCCCAGTCTCAAACTGCTCAGAGTAGTCAACCTTGGCTGAGCGATCTAACCAGGCGGCCCGATGTGGTTTGCAGCACAACGCGACTCAGCAGCCGCAGGGTAAAGATCGCTGTAGTAGTCATGCCACACCGTTCGCCCTTCCTACCAGAAAATCAGGAGGACAGCTAAGCTAAAAGTGCAAGCCAGCATCGAAACAATATCCTGCAAGCTTGAACAGCAGGATATGTCACATGTCCACTTGTGCAAGAAAGTCCAAGTCCGGGTCTGCTCCGCCCTATCCCGCCTCGTGATGTGGGTTTCGTGGCTTCAGCTGATGCGACCAGTGGCGCAGGTGTGCATTGGCCATCTCCAAAGCAGCCACCTCGGCCGGGGAGTCAAATGTGCCAGTGGCCATTTGAAAGCAGAGATGATTGGCCGTGGGATTTGCTCAGCGATGGGAACAAACCCAGGCTTGCAACTTGTGTCCAGCCCCTGCCCTGCTTGTGCCGAGCATCAATGAGGCCAAGCCAGCTGAACATCTGCTGCTGGTGCTTGTCGGCCAGAATCCTAGGCTGGCACAGTCTGTGCTGATTCCCAGCTTGTGGCGTATGAAAACCCTGATCGGTCGGAGCCGCAATTCGACTCGGGGCAAACGCTTCCGAGTTGCCGGTCGTAGCAAAATTGCATCTTCTGCCCGACATCCAGCAGGAAATCCCGAGATTCCTGCATTGCCGGCTCATTGGATTGGTGGAAGAATCCAATTCTGATACAATGCTACGTTCCAGTTCTAGCACATGATGTCTCAAGTACATCAGAGCCACTATGCTGCCGAACAAAACTCAAAATACCCAAGCTTGACATGCATCGTACTCCGACGCCTGGTAAGTGTAGCAAAGAAGAACTCCAACAAAAAGTCGCATGAGCAATTCTTTCCATGCATGCCAATGAATGCCTGCCAATCCACAGCTTAACGTGACTCTCCAATCACACTCCCGTTACACATGTCTCAAAATGTCCAATAACTCCAGACTCGTTGACTCGTTCACTCATGTCGAGTCCTGAACTCCCAAAATCTTCAGCAAATCCTGCCAGCTCTCTGCGGAGAGCACGTGGGCTGCGAGGGCCCCACAGGCTGCCGCGGGGCATTCGCGGATGGAGTCCCAGGAGATGACCTGGACAAGGGAATGACCGAACAGCTGAGTGGGCATCACAAGCAAGGATCTAGGGGTTGGTCTGGGGTTGGTGAACGGACACATTGTCCAAAAGCTTGATCCTAAAGCACGGCCAAGATGGGATCTCTCGGCAACGACTTCAAGAGCTTGTTGATTGCGTCGGAGCTAACATCGGCATGGAGTGCCGATTGTGGAATGAAAAGTCCAACCATCATCAGCAGCACACCACATCGAGTGAAAAGGAGGGGCAGCTGCAGCTGCATTCAATGCCCGTACGAGACACTTGGTTTGGGGAGGTATCAGTGGGGCGTGCAGGCTGGGCATATCAACATGAATCAATATTGAAGGAGAGGAGGAGGCGGGCAGCGGAAGCACGGCCTACGACTGATTTCCTGACGAATTAAGAGGCCGCCATGCCAACAAATCAAGTCGAGATTCAACCATGCCATCTGCAAAGTTCCGCAAAGCGCCTCTGTCCACGGAAGGCCGCTTTGGTGGATTCGCTCCATCCTCAGATCAGGTGGCCGCATTGAAACGAGCGATGCACGCGTTGGATGTTGCCCAAAGCACTCTGCCCTTGATGATGTCATATTGATGTCAACAGCTTGGACTTGACTTCCCGCTTCTTTGCAGCCTGTCTAGGCTGGTTGAACGAAGGCCTAAGTCCAAGAGTCCAAAGCAAGTACCCCTCTGCTTTGCCTAGCTCTTGCAGAGGCCAGGCGTGCAGCAGGCTTGGGTGGCTCTCGCGGCACCCAGCAGATACCAGCCCCTCCTGAGCGGACCAAACCCAAAACTGTGAGGCATTGAAGGCAGTGCATATATTTCTTCTCAGGCTGCAGTCACCATAGTAAGTGCAGACAACTTTTGGACTCCAACCAAGGTTCCAGGTCGCGCTGCAACTCTGATGCATCACAAGAGCCACGGAGGCAAGCGCTTGTCACTTCGCCTGGACCAGTAGGACCAGGCATGCTTCAGAAGCAGGATCTAATATTGCACTTTGCCATGTATGGAGACATGTGCTGCACACATGTGCAGACATTGCCCTTGATATTTTGTGTGTCGCGGAAACAGACAATGAAAACATTGATATGACAAATAGTAGAAATGCATGTGCAGGAAATGCTGTGCTGGGTGTACACAACAAATGGTTTCAAATTAGTGAAACACCCAAGCGTAGTGTCAGAAGCATCGGGAAGCTGGACTTTGGCAGATTTCATCCGTCGAATAAATCAGGTGCAGACGTCCGGTGAAGGCGGTGCCTGCAAGGGCTACCTCCTGGAATGAATGCTGCAGCTCATTGCACTTCACTCGATGTAGCTCCTGTCAGTGGCAATCGGACTTTGTGAGCATGCCTCTTTGCTCAAGGTGGGAACACGGGCCACATTGGAAGCACGGGCAAGCTCCTGCACCTCTGGCACAGAAGCACCAGAAAGCTCTGGTAGGAGACAAGGATCGGCCTTTGTCAGCCTGAGCGGAAACTGTCGCTGAGCTTTGACCGCCAGTCGATACACAGAAAGTCGATTCCCTGAGCTCAAAGTTGGGGAGACAGGTTCCTTTTGGTTCTTGGGCCCTCGATTTCCAGCGGCCGACTCAATATTTCAAGGCACTCAATGACACGCTTCGCCAGTGCAGCAAAGACACCAAAGGCAAAGCGCGATCCTCCACATGTCCCCAAATAAGTGACCTGTCGGACACGAATGCAATTCATGGATCAAGCGTTGGCCGTGAGAAATCCATATGTCGTCAAAGAAGCGTTTCGACCCATGTTTCTGCATGATCTTGCAGCCTCGCAATGGAAAGTCACTGCTGCACAAGGTGCCTCCAAGTTCCAGCCACTGCGCATTGCATGCGCTGCTCCAGTCACAAACTAAGCGCTGATGGCATGCGTGGCAGTTGCATTGAGTAAGCCGGTGCAACTACTCAGTTTGGTGAGCGCTGTGTTGAATGCCTACGTTTCGCAGAGCTTTCAAGAGCCAGGTCTGCAAGGCGACAGGGACTTCACTTCCCAAAAGTCCGAGCCTCATGCGACCCATGCGACCCATGCGACCCATGCGACCCATGCGACCCATGCGACCATCTCCTGGTCCAGCTGCTGTATGGTCTCCGAGGCCCGGTTCACTGCGACGTCCGTGACTTCAGTCACACGGCGCAGCGCCTTCCCCAAAGAGACAAGCTCCGTGCACAACTTTTCTCATTGACTGACTCATGTGACACATCTAGCCCTTTCTTGTAGGTGTGAGGCTTGGGAATGACATGGCTTTAGAAGAAAGTGCTGGCACGCTTTCAGCTTTGCAATGCAATTTTGCGTTCGTCGAAGCAGTCGCCTGCAAGTCTGATGCACATGTTTCAACATTACATCTAAAAATCAGTTCGGCTGCTGGATGTTTGGAACATAGGCAATCTGCACAGCAGCTTGGCACTCACCGGTACCAGCTTGCCACTCACTGGCACCAGCTCGCCACTCGGCAGGCACTAGCCGCCCTCGGCCTCACACTCTTTCTTCTTCTTGTACATCATGATCGCCATCACTAGAAGCCCGATCAGCACAATCGAAACGTTCATGGCTGCCCAACCGAGAGACTCAGCGAGACCGCTGGTCCATGCTGCCAAGCCGATGTTGACCCCGATCATGAAGCACCCGCAGAAGACTGCGTAAATGAGAATGCTCTTCAGCAAATCCAAGGGTCCTGGCCAGCGGTGCCTCCCCCACCGGTCGCACAAAGTGATGGCGAGCTTCAGGCTGATGAGCTGCCAAATGACGTCGGTTGCCAGAGTCTTGGCCAGCAGATAGCTCCAAAGTAACCCTGCTGGCGCGTTGCCCATCCACATGGACATGAACTGCTCCATACTTGAACTGATGGACCCCAAGCTGATGAGGAGCAAATATGAGTAAGGCACTTGCAGGTGCCACTCGCAGCCCAACAACTCCATTCGCAATGGCCCTCGCACGTACTGGGTGAAGGCTTCCTTGCTTCCATACCATTGAACAATCCCTGCGTGGATAAACTCTCGGTCGAAGTCGTTGCGGCATTCGGCATTGCTCAAGTCAAACTCCGCAAGGCCTTTGATCAGCTGTTGCCTCACATGTTGTTTGTTTTTGTGAGGCGGCAAAGGTCCTGAACAATGAGCGTTGCATCACAAACAAGCAACGGCCACCAGCCCAGCAATCAAACACCTTGTTGACAAGAGCACAGCTCAGCTTCGGCATTTGTTCAAACCAAACTCATTTCCGAATTTGATCCTGAGCCCGCCTCAATCGCAACTCGCCCCGCATAACGTGGACTGCTACCAGCATCGGCAGCATGCCCAATGAGTAGGCACTCACAACGAACATCTGATCCATCTTGTTCAGTGCCGTAACCTGGAACACGATGGCACCCATGACGTTGCCCAAAGCCATCGTCGCGCACACACTTTCCACGAATAGTGGGTTCAGCGTAAGCTTCCCATTCGGGTTTGCAGTGCGGTAGGCTGCAAGCTCGAAGACACACCACAGCCTGCGGGCAGGCATTTTTGTTGCACCAGAATTGAAGTGGCAGGCTGCCAGCAGTGGAAAGGCTCTGCCTAGAAATAGCTGATTTCTAAAACAAACCTTCTCATGCCCTCTTCCCAGTCACAACGGTCCGGGTTGCGGAAATGCCTCAAAATTCCGAAATGTCCCCTACGAGGCCTTGAAAATCAGAGTCTCTCCCACAGCGGGGCAACAACATGGAATCAAACCAAGCCTGACAGAAACACTTTTTTCTCTCCTACCCTGTCCACAAACATGGAACCTAACATGTTAGTGGACAGGGTCAGAACGGTGTGACTTCAAATCGGTAGGCAACTTGAGCTCCCGCTCCCCGCGCCTTGAGAGGTATGGAGGGCTCCACAGGACCCGCAGCTCCTTTGCCACCTTCAAGAAGCCGCCCAGTCCGTAGATGCCTCGCTCCATGAGCGCCGAATCTGTTTGACTGATGCTCACCACGTCCAGAAAGCAAATGTCCGAGGGAGCGATACAGTCTGGGGCATAAACTGCACCAAACAAACCTGGGCTCGACAAAGGCACTCATACAGAACGAGATGCGGGCGCTCAATCAAGCATGTGTCAATGAACTCGCACGGTTTGTCAGTTTCAGCTCTGCCTTGAAGTGACACAGACTCAAACTCGATTCGAAACATATGATGGAGGTCAATTTGATGGAGTAGTGACTCGATGCGCTTGGTTTTCGGGAGTCCTCAGAACATCACTCTCTAAGAACCAAGACATCAGATCCTGGGCCCGTCAAAGAGTTCCGTGGTCGATGGCATGTCCAATGCTCAGCCCAGAATCATAGAGAGCGGCCCGCCATGGAGCCTGTGGCCCTTCTGGAATGATAAGTCTCACAATGGTGAGAGCCCCCCATTCTCAAGCAATCATTTGGTATCATTTGGTGACGTGGTTTACCGTACCCCAAATCAGGCAAGCACTTTGGACCCAGAAGCCAAGGAAGCCGCCCAGCAGGCCCAGGCCGATCACCCAGAAGGACATGGAGCATTCGGAAGTCCAGGACTGGGCTGTGACTTCCCAATGGCTCACCATGGGCAACAGCCCGGCCATGATCAAACACATTGCCAGCACTGTGCCGATCAGCCAAGAGAAAAACATGAAATGCCAGCCGGTGCGCATAAGCAGAGTCAGGACCTTCCATCTGCCTGCTGTCAGCCATGTATGCGAGAGGAACATGTCAAAGCCCTTGACATGCTTCGATTTGGTCCACAGCTCCTTGCGATCCTCCTCATTCAAGTCAAGAGGAGACCACCGCCAGAGTCGTCCGAAGTTTTTCAGGCTTTCACGCAATGAGATGCCCCGAACAATCTCGGTGTCCACCTCCAGCTGGCTCATCTTCTCGATGCGACTGCTTCCGCTCATTGGCTTCTGAAGCATGTGACCAAGTGGCATTGCCTCTGGTGAAGGTTTCGGGGACGCCTTCTCAATGTCTTTAACAGGAAAAGCGCCCACACTGATGCTGACATTCGCGGCATCTGCAACATCTGGTTCTCCGCCTGAGGCCTCATCATCATCGTATTTGTGGTGTACAACCTCCTTTGGAACCACGGCTAACTCATCCTCCTGACAGCAGCTTGCCTGCTGCCCCATGGCTCAAATGGAGATCTGAGTCTCAGACTCTGGTCAGCCGAGACCCTGCGACGAGCCACTGACATGTCTGACAACAACTTGCACCTGGCATTGCCTCCTGAGAGATGTCTCGCAGACTCTCAAAGAGTCTCACGGACAGCGGTGCAACCTGTTCAAAGTGTGACAGGCCTCTGATGCCCCTTGGGAGATGTTCTCCTCTGCCTTGTGCGCAATCCTGACTGCATCTCACATCGCGGATCAGCAGCAAGGTCTCGCGAGCTCGGTGTGTGAGACCAGACAGACAGACAGACCAGACAGACAGACAGACAGACAGACAGACAGACAGACAGACAGACAGACAGACAGACAGACAGACAGACAGACAGACAGACAGGCAGGCAGGCAGGCAGGCAGGCAGGCAGGCAGGCAGGCAGGCAGGCAGGCAGGCAGGCAGGCAGGCAAACAGGCAAACAGACAAACAGACAAACAGACAAACAGACAAACAGACAAACAGACAAACAGACAAACAGACAAACAGACACACAGACAGACAGAGGACAGACAGACAGGCGACAGAGGCAGGCAGGCAGGCAAACAGGCAAACAGACAAACAGACAAACAGACAAACAGACAAACAGACAAACAGACAAACAGACAAACAGACAAACAGACACACAGGCAAACAGACAAACAGACCGACCGACAGACACACAGACAAACAAACAAACAAAGAGAGAGAGAGAGAGAGATAGAGAGAGAGAGAGAGAGCGATGTCTTGCTGATTAGTCTCGAACCAAGCTAGCAAACTGGGGGCCTGTGGAGATAGATCTGTTTGTGGACCCCTTCAGCTTGATCATGAAACAGCCTGCCTTTCAGTCTCCTTCACAAACTCGGAGTTTGCAAGTTCATCTCCGATCTGCACAGGTGCAAGAAGTGCAACATGCCGCACGGTGCGCAAATGGCCGGCTTGCGTAACATGCACAACATGCACAGTGGCTTCTGCCTCAACTTGCAAGACTCTGCAAACTTCAGGCATCCGTCATTCAAAGCTGTGTCTATACATATGCATACATATTAGATGTTTTATATATTTGGTGTGTAATTGTTAATGTTAGACACCCAATTGGAAAAGTATCCTCTATTGTGGCAATTTATGTTCGCAATTCAGGATCTTGTGACTGTTTTGGGGGTCCTCAATTGTGGCCGGGAAAAATCCGGGCAAACAACGGCAAAAAAAGCCGGACCAAACAAAACCGGGCAAACATTAGGAAGTCATTTGGCCCCACATTTAAGATAAATTCGCCTCGGCCCCAAAGGGGCCAAGGGCGCTCATATCTCTTCTCCAAAGAGAATCTTTTCCGGGCCCCCCCCCAACCCCCCCCCCCATGTCGGCTGGCCCAAAATCCTGTCCGGCGGGCCTTGAAATTTTCGGGGTTCGTCGGCGTCCAGCTCCATGGGCCCATTTTTGTCCGGTTGTGGGGGTCTCAAAAAATGCTTTTTTGTCCTGAAAAGCATGACCTCCTGCTGGCCAGGCCTGTCTGACGTGTCTGAGACTAGGCTCAGGCCCAGCCCAACCAGCAACCCGCCTGCTGGCCAGGCCTGTCAGCCCAGCCCATCAGGCCCAAGCTTGTCTCCCAAGCACGGCCCCAAGTCCCAGCCCACTAGGCCAGCCCCCAGCTCCCAGCCCACCAGCACGCTCAGCCCAGCGTGCCAAGGTCGGTTTGTCTAACGTGTCTGAGACTGGCCTCAGGCCAACGACCATCTACTTTGCCTGTCTGACGCAGCCCAGGCCGACCTCCTACTCGCGTCTGGCCCCAAGTCATCCAGGTCCAGCCCCTTCGGCGCAGTCTGACACTGGTCTCAAAGTATGCCAGCCTGAGACTAGCCTCAGGCCCAGTCCCTCAGCCCGCCTGCTGGCGTGTCTTACGTGTCTGCGACTGGCCTACAGGCCCAGCCCAGCCAGCAACTCGCCACCCAGCCTCAGGCCCAAGTGTGTATGAAACAGGCCTTCCAGCAACCCGCCCAAGCACAGCTAAGCCCAGCCCGTAGTCCGGCTGCCCGGCACCCAGCCCACCAGCAGGCTCAGCCTAGCGTGCCAAGGTCAGGCCTCAGCCCAACACGTGTCTGAGTCTCAAGCGTGTACTAAGCCTGTCTGACGTGCCCCAGCCCCTCAGTCCGGAGCCCATAGCCATTGACCTCCTGCTTGCGTCTGGCCCCAGTCATCCAGCAGCCCCAGCCCCTTCAGCGCAGTCTCAAAGTATGCCAGCCTGAGACTAGCCTCAGGCCCAGTCCCTCAGTGCGACTGGCCTCAGGCCCAGCCCAGCCAGCAACTCGCCACCCAGCCTCAGGCCCAAGTGTTCCCCTTTTTATGGAGGCCAAGCCCCACTAAAAATGCTCATCCCCAGAAAGAGGTCCTTTTTTTTCCAAGGGCACTGAGCAGCTGAGATAGTCTTGGTTTTGGATTTCAAACCTTCCGAGCAGGACGGCTTCCGAACATCGAGCTAGCACGGGCGAACTGGTGCGGTCACAAGCTTTCAGTAGGATTCGGACCTTCCCAACACTGGATTTCGGTGTTCCTGACCCTTCCCTCAAACTAGGCTGGGCCGAGGCGGGCAACGCGAAGCGTTTACAATTATTTGCAAACAGTCACACGAAGGGGGTTGCCCACAAAAGGCCCTGATCCTCTTTACTGTGACTGTGTTGGGTCCTCTTTTGGTGTCCAACTATTTTGGGGGTTGCTGAAAAACGGTGCTTGGCAATCCTAAAGTGGAATTGGCAATACGAAAGTAGGTACTAGGAATCTGAGAGTCAGCCTTGGATCTGGCAATACGAAAGTAGGTACTGGGAATCTGAGAGTCAGCCTTGGCAATACTGAAGTAGAATTGGCAATACTAAAGCAAGTACTGGGAATCGGAAAGTCAGCCTTGGCAATACTAAAGTAGAATTGGCAGTGCTACAGTAAGTACTGGGAATCGGAGAGTCAGCCTTGGCAATACTAAAGTAGAATTCGCAATACTAAAGTAAGTACTGTCCCTCCCAGAACCCCCCGAATTTTCTCTAAAGAGGGTCCGGCTAACTGGTTCCACTGTTCCAGGGGGCCGTGTAAAGAGGGTCCAACATTACTGTGTATGTTGCGCTAGGATTCATCCAACCATGGTATTAAACAGGTCCAGGACCCCCCCCCCAAAAAAAAAACCCTGAAAACTGGAATTAATGAAAATGTGTGTTGTCCGCACACAACATGTTCTTAAACAGGTCCGCACTGCCAACCCCCAAGATTACGAAGGCCCCACCACCCTGCCCAAGAAAACAATGATACAGCTGCTGCCTTCTTCACGTTTTCTCATTTGTTTTGGAATGCCAAAGCACAAATAGCTGTCAGCTTTGCACTAGTACTAGGACAGCCATGACGTAGTGCCAACCAAGCCAGCACAAACATCAGCCAGAACTCTGTGAAATCCAACAACAGTTGGGCTGTCTGAAAGAGCAATGTCCTTATTACCTCCCTTTCAAAACATGTTTGTTTGAGAAGGTCGCATGAGGTACCCCACATGATTGCCCAGCCCGTATTAATAGTACAGTCCCCATGGTCTTTATTGGGGCCATTTGGGCCGCACCCAATTTGAGCTCCAGCAGTACTAAATCAAATGGCAAGTGAATCCCAATATCAAATCAAATGGAGATCAAATCAAAATCAAAAGCTCCAGCAATACTACCGCAAATGGAAACTCAAATCCAACAATACTAAATCTAACAATTAGAAGCTCAAATCAAATTCCAAAGGAAGCCACCAAATCAAATAAATGAAAGTTCAACTCAAACTCAAAGGAAGCTGCAGCAATACTACATCAAATGCCAAATCAAACGGATGAAGTTAGGCCAGATTCACTCCGGCAATACTATATCAAATGGAAACATAGACGGACCGAAGCTCCTTTTGGGGACCTTCTGGAGTGCTGACATCCGCATTCTGAATTCAAAAGTCGTGTTGCCCAATGCCAGAATCTGCTTCTTGGAGGAACCCAATCTTCTGGACCTTCTCGGGTTGGGGGAGGTTCATCCGATGTCTACATACAACTTGTGCCCGCAATGGGTGGAATAAGCGGAGTAAGCTCTAAGCAGCTTTTCTTGGGAAAAGGCCCGCCTTCTTTGCGGACTGCACCACGCTTCCCCAGCCCCAGGACCTCAGGCCAGTCGCCGTGAAAGACATCGAGGCAACGGACCGGCAACGGATCGTTTGTCTTTTGTTGAGGTATCCTTTTTTCGGGTCGATTTGAAGGGGAGAGAAGAAAGCCCCCATGTGAGGGGTAACGACAGACTCATCTGAACAAAAATCGCCCAAGTGGCTTCGTTCACCTCTTCGATAGGGGCCAGACACCCAGCTCTTTGCAGCTCCCAGGCCGTTTTGCATCTTGTCCATAGGAAACGCCTTGCCAGGATCAGGCCAAAGGTGTTGATCCGCCCTTTCCACAGGAAATAAAGTTGGCGGTCCTTCCACATCTGCCGTGCCCTTGTGTTTTAGCTGGGTGTCAAGACAAAATTTGCATCAAACGCAAGTTTGCCCAAGAAAGACAGCAACATAGTTCACCTCTTGCCAAAGGATCGCAGCCGCAATCACCTAATTGATGCTGGGCGTGTGCACAAACTGCACACTGTCCAAAGATTAGAAAACAGCTACAAAAGACACAGCCAGTATTCAAGTGTCAACATCATACTTGCAAGGCGAGACACCTGCTGCAATTGTTTCCTCGATTGGATCGTATCAGACCGCATGCACTGGACTGGCTTCACTGGCCGGGTGTCAACCCC